TGTGTGTGCAAGAGCCGAATAGCAGCCGTAACCGCGACGTCCTAGACGCACGCCAACTTGTATTAATAATCGAAATAGGGATTCCAAAGGTGGAAATAACATGTATCCAACTGGATTCAACAACTCCTGCAAGGCTCTGTGAAGTAGACTTATTTAATTATTATTATTATTGCTATTTGAATAAAATGTTTATCTTATCTTACTCTGTTTATCATTTGCACTTTGATGTATTAGCTTTACACTCAAGTGATGATACAAGATAAGATATTAAAAAAGAGAACTAACTGTATGGTGACATTTCTTTCTTTTGATACAATTTTACTGCTCTATAAATATTGCGTGTAAAGTTCCCAGAAACAACTGATAACCAACACGAGGTAATTTTGAAAAATGAGACATCCCGTAAAGAAACGATTGGTCTGCGATTTTCATCGTATCTGATAAATTCGTTTGTGCATCTGCATGTGAACATGTAACGAAAATAATTCAGTTTATGTAACTTTTGAACGATTTGACCCATTGAGATCAGTTACACACTTAATATATTGTCACAATCGTTTATAGATATGAAAGGCTCCGATTTGTGGTATTGTAGCAGAGTTATAAACAAATTCTATATTTAAGATCAAAAATGACTCATATTCGTAACATAATAGGTGAAGTGTGAAACCTATGAAATATCCGTTCTGCAGTACTGGCTATTTCAAATCAAAATAATTTTCAAATTAACTTTATTTTTAAAACATGGAACTCTTTTTTCAAAATTAGTCATTCGTTTATTGATTAACGTCATGTTATCATCGCATTTGAATATTTTTTGTCATCATGGATACGTTATAAATCCGAGTAATTATAGAATATGAGTACCGTCGTGGCAACATTGCAGCACAAGCGGCATGCAACATCAAAGACGTTTACGAAGCTAATACTACAAACGAACGTTTTTTTTTACGTGTTTGTATTGGTTTACACAATTCCGTTCTGGAAATTTCGACCTGAAAAAGGAACCCCGTGGTAGTCCGAAAACTGGTCGATATCAATAATGACAATTAAAAGCGATTTGGAAGCTGACGATACTCAATCTAAGACTGAATTAGCAGCAGCTTTCGACGTTAATGTCGAAAAAACATTATTCCTTTTGAATAAAATTGGCAAAGTAAAAAAGCTTGACAAATGGGTCGATGAAGCGTTAATCAAACGAACTCAATGATCGCTAGCGAAGTAAACGTCGAGACTTCGCTAGCGATCATTGAGTTTGCTTGCACTGTTCAACAGGCACGCAAATGAAAGAATTTTGAACCATATTGTTACCTGCGACGAAAAATGGATTCTGTTTGACAATCGTAAATTGGTTGGATCTTGGTTCAACACCTAAACAATGCCCTAAACGAAAACTTATCCAGAGAAAAGTGATAGTCACTGTTTGGTGGTCTAGGGCCAGTGTAATTCATTACAGCTTCTTACCAAAGAGAATAAACATCACTGCAGATGAATACTGTGAAGAACTGAAGACAATGATGGAGATGATAGCACGTCTCCAACTAGCTATGGGCAATCGTTTGTCCCCGCTGCTCGAGCACGACTACGCGTGACCTCACACTGCACAAAAGACTGTATCCAAGTTACAAGAGCTGACGTGGGAAGCTCCGTTATCCACCGTACTCGCCAGACCTTGCGCCTATAGACTTCTACTTTTTCCAGATTTTGGATAACTTTTTGGCGGGAAAAAATGCAATACCCGAGAGGCAGTACAAAATATCTTTAAAGAATTTGTTGCCTTCCATCCAGCTGATTTAACTGTTCAGTGTTTTTTATATATATATATATAGAAGAGGGGGCAAACGAGCTTGTGGCTCACTTGATGGTAAGTATCGCCCGAGGCCCATGAACAACTGAATACCAGGCAAATTTCAGGTGCGTTACCGGCCTTTAAAAAGAAGTGAGCTCGTTTTTTGAAGGTCCTTAAATCGTATCGGTCCGGATATATTGCCTTTCGAACCCGCGGTCCAACAGTATACGGACCGTGGGCTCGAAAGCCTCACGAAACATGTACTTATTTGTTTGGCCTACAAGTCATTGTTCCTGATCTGGATATTTGTCGTTGTGCAATTTATGTATGTAAACTGCCTACTCGATACCGGGGAAAATCCCAGTGTGAGGATAACTTTTTATAAAGCATTTAAAGCATTTAATTAATTTTGTTGCGTACATTGGGCTTCGCTCAGAGGCCAGCTAACAACAAAAATAAAACGTATCCATTTGCACAGTTTTACTCTCTCTTTAATTATAACTCTATAGTTTGAGCCAACTCTCGAACATTTGCATCCAACACGTCATATTTATGCTCAGAAATAACATATCTAGGTACATCAATAATAATACCATGTGGTGGTATGCCAACTGATATTATTCATATTGTCGTTTCTACAAACGGGTTGATGCTGATCATATATATGTATGTATGTTTATATATGTTTTTTATTATAGAACAATACACATTAAAGCGAAAACAATATGAAATAAATTATATAGACAACTTATGGTTAAAATTATATAGGTACCTACAGACAATCTTTTTGTGCAAAGAACTTGATTGCAACGAATGGCCGATAGGGAAGTTGTAGCTACATAAATTAGACAATTAAGTAAAAGAAAAAAATATTTATAAAAACATAAGATGCTGACAGTTAAGTATAGGTATGATTGATACCTACAATTAACGTTAGGAAGTATGATGGGAAATATTAGAGCTCTAAGTAATAAGCTTTGAGAAGATTTTTGAAAGAAAAAGTGGACTGAGAATGTCGAATATATAAAGGAGTTTTACAAGCGTACAATTGTAACCGAAAATGATTTATTGAGGAAGGAAGATCATCTGAAGCGACTGGGCCTCGGTGGCGGAATGCACTGCACCAGACTCGAATACAGAAAGCGGTGCTTCTCGATACTGCACGCATAATTCGCCGATTTCTTTCCTTTTTCCCCAACCCTCGGGTTTTTAGTCTTCCCTGTCAAGGGCCTCCGTCAGGTTCGGTTTCATTTATTTTATTGTATTTTATTTTTTAGTATAATACTTTATGCTAAGTGAACGACAAAGTTGGGAATGGACACCCTAGACGAAAGTTTATCGACCAAATTGGCGATATATTGAAGATGAGCTAAATTAAGAGTAGGTACCCTTAACCAACGTGCATGTATGAGTAGGTATATTGATGTAAAGGAGGCGAGAGAGTAGTGTCAGAATCGTGCCATATAAGTTCGTAGTCTCTGCCTACCTCTCCCGGTGATAGGTGTGAGTATTTATGTTTATGCTAAACCATTATGTATGGAGTGTAGAAGTAAGGAGTACAGACTGTGTATTAAAAAGTGTCAAACAGAAAACCGTTAAATAAAGGTGGCGCCATTATAGCTACGGGCTAAATTTTAAAGAACGTGCCGAAAAAATTAGTGGGATAGATGACTTTTTCGAGGTTATATTTACCAAATAAAATTATTTTAGATTTTAGAGCTACTGAGCAGTTTAGCAGCACACTTCACCGTCGACAACTGCTAAGTTCATTTCATCCCAGTAGCGACTCCAGCGCTGTTGTGGAGAGTTTTTGAACTGTTATTTACTGCTTACAGATGGCCACTTTTCAACTATTTTACTATGGGAGTTGGTACTCCTTACTACACACTAGTTAATTCTACACTCCATACTATTATGTTTATAGTATTTTATAACTTTCATATTTTATCGGTATTTATCAATGAACAAGACGAAAAACTATAGAAACCCCATATTATTATTAACTGTACCTATAATGTCAGGCTAAATTAGCCCATTTTTATTAGTATGAGGCAAAGAGTATACTAATAGTCACTCGTTTTAGTATGAGGCTTACATCTAAAAGTAAAAGTTTTATTTTATTTTATAGGAGAGGGGGCAAACGAGCATACGACTCACCTGATGGTAAGTGTTTACCACCGCCCATGAACAACTGCAACACCAGGGGAGTTGCAGATGCGTTACCGGCCTTTTAAAAAGGAGTAGGCTCTTTACTAAAGGTCCCTAAGTCGTATCGGCCCGGAAAAATCTCTGGTGGTAGTCGATTCCACAAGGAAGTTGTGCGAGGAAGAAAACTTCTTTTAAATCGCACGGTGGTGAACCGCCAGACATTCAGGTGGTATGAATGGTATCGCGAGTTTTGTCGCGATGTGCGATGGTAAAATTGTGCGGCTGGAATTAGTCCGAGCAATTCGTCAGAGCACTCCCCGTGGTAGATGCGATAAAATACGCAAAGAGATGAAACATCTCTTCGCAGTGTCAGTGAGTCAAGCCGATCGGAAGATCAGCATACATACGTCTCACTGCTGGGCACAGGCATCTCATTTCTGTGAGGGTTTTAGGGCAAGGAAGGGCCGCGCTACCCCAATGCGTGTTGGCGAACTTCACACGTCTTCGAAATATTTTTTTTCTTATTTCTCAGATATAGGGGAAAGTCGGGTAGCCCCGGACGGCGGGTAACGCCGGACATTTAAATATCAAAGAAACTAAACACGTTGCGTAGGTAAAACTTTACTATAAATGTGCGCCCTCTGGAGTAAAAGCAAATCAAACTCAGTTGCGGTGTGGCCGCCAAGCTAGTTACCCGTGAGTGTGTGTTTTGTTCCCGCCAAAAAAACTTCGTCGCTCCTGTCAAACTTCATTGAAGGATTACTAAGTACAATACGTAAGTGTGTAAACTTGTCTATTATTTATGTTGTAGCCAATTTTATACATTTGAAGTTTGTAACAGGATTTTAAACAATTTATTAACTATTTAAGAGCTGTGTTTAAAAATGTTAAATGATAACGATCGGGTACCCCCGGACACGATAATGTCGGGTACCTCCGGACAGTGGTTTAAGTTTTGAATTTCGCAATATTGTGTCAACAAATTACAATTGTTTTGTCAGTTTGCTTTTTTATGGAAAGTATTTTAAAATGTTTTTACTATTGTTGCAGAAAGATCTAAAATATGCCGAAATTTAAGGGAAGAATTAGCGATAGAGGAAAATGGGACGAAAATAAAATGAAAGAAGCTGTTAAAAATGTGATGGAAGGCAAGTTATCTGTAAGACAAGCGGCAGACAGGTTTGATGTCCCAAGAAGCTCACTTCACGATCGCCTGAAAGTTTTGAAAAGTGGCAAAGAGGTTGCTTTTTACCCGAAGTTGGGGCGATTTGAAACCACATTTTCTAAAAACTTTTTTATGCAACTATATGAGCACGTTAAAGAACTGGACAATCGTCTTATGCCATTAAGTAGGAAGTAGTTTTTAAAATTAGCGTTTGATTTGGCAGAAAACCTCAAAATCCCTCATAGATTTAATAAAGAGAAGGGAGTCGCAGGAAAGGACTTTTTTTTACAGTTTTAGAAAAAAATATCCTAATATTGTTTTAAGAACTCCCGAATCGACTAGCATTGCGCGGGCTGTTGGGTTTAACAAACCACAAGTTAGCCGTTTCTTTGGCCAGCTTAATCACCTTCAAGAGAAATATAAATTCCCTCCTTCTAGAATTTACAACGCCGATGAAACAGGGGTATCAAATGTGCATAAAAATGATAAAGTCATTTCGATAAAAGGAAAAAAACAGGTTGGTAAATTAACATCTGCAGAAAGAGGTCGAAACATCACATTAACTTTTGCGATGAATGTCACTGGTCATTTCATACCACCCCTTTTCATTTTTCCTCGGAAGAAAATGGACAAGAACGGTCGCTTGATGATAGGAGCTCCACCAGATAGTATTGCTACTCCTCAAGAGAGCGGATGGATGAACGGTGAGGTGTTCTTCCAATGGTTGCAACATTTTAAACAACATGTTCAGCCAACAGAAACAAATCCTGTCCTCTTAATTTTGGATGGCCACGCTAGTCATAAGGAGCTGGCAGTTATAAAATATGCACGAAATCATCACATTCATATGCTGAGCACACCACCTCATACAACTCATAAATTACAGCCGATGGACAGGACATTTTTTAAACCTTTTAAGTCTGCATTTGCAACTGCAAGTTCAGCATGGATGAGGCGAAATCCTGCAGCTAGAATCACTGACTATGATATTGCTGCACTTGTGGACGAAGCCTTTAGCAGAGCAGCATGGTTGGATATAGCACAAAACGGATTCAAGTGCACAGGAATTTATCCATTTAACCCTGAAATCTTTACTGACATTGATTTTTTACCATCAATGATGACAGATGTGATGCAAGAAGTTTCTTCCAAAGAAAATATGGCTAATCAGTTCTCAGTAGCACATTCTTCGCCAGTGCCCTCCACTAGTCATGCATTACCTGCAAATGAACCGGAGTCTTCAACCAGCTCAACAGATATATTGAAACAGCTATCACCATTTCCTGACGCATCGAAAAAACGGTCGTTAAAGCGGGCTCGAAAAACTCAAAGGAGCGAGATTATAACATCATCACCTTACAAAAAAGATGTAGAGGAAAAACAAAAAAGTAGAGACAGAAAACCTAAAAAACAAAAAAGTAAAGGCACTAAAAAGATGTTAAAAACAACTAAAAATATTCAAAGTCTTTCCAAAGAAAATGGAGAGGAAGAGATCGAATGCATCATATGTGGAGAAACATTTGAAGAGGACTGGATTCAGTGCCAGGAATGCAAAAACTGGGCCCATGAAGACTGTGTTTACATAGATTCTTCGGATGTTTATTTTAATTGTGATGTTTGTAAGGCCAAAAAACGATTAGGCCAGTATTGATTATTATGTCCGGGGCTACCCGCCGTCTTTTGTATCGTCAAAAAAATGAGACCAAAGTATTTTCAATATATTTCCTTAAAAAAAAATGATATGATTAATAATTTTAATTATTATGATTAAAGAAGTTCTTAGCTTTACTTTAAGTGTAAAATAAAGACAGAAATTTTGTTTATTAATATTTTTATTTGCAATTGATTTTAGTGTCTGGGGCTACCCGAACTTCCCCTACAGGTTTCCTCACGGTGTTTTACTTAATTGCCGAACAGAAATAATTTAGATGGTAAATAATTTTTACAGCTATGTTAGTAATAAAATAATATTAAGGATTTGATACTCATCGCGAAGGTCTGAGCCCGAGGCTTCGCCCATATCTTCGCTTCACTTCTCATTATGTAAAAGGAGTAGGCGATGCTATTGGCCAAGGTAACAAATTTATACCCTATGTTTACCGATTAGGTTTTTTTTGGTAATAGTAATTGCTTGTTACCATAGCAACATTACATGAGTTTAACGACAATTTGAAATTATTATGTAATATTTATTTAAGTTTTGGGTTTCGATCCCGAGGTTATGATAAAAACGCAACATGGCAACGAAGGAAACGGCTGATTCTTCCAAGAAATATAGAAAAGTTCCATTATACCCAGGATTCCCAGAATTGGCGCGGTCGGATGTCAGCATCTATCCTAGTTACACCAAGTTGGGCCTAGCCTAGTGAGTAAATATTGCGTCAGCTGATTTGATGTTCTCTTAGGCCGGTCGGTTTCACAGGAGCGTAGGCACTAACACAGAACTAATATAAGCTCCTACAATTATTTGACCAGTTAATCTAAGTAGGTACTTAAACGTACCGTCGTCAGTTAAAAAGAGTAGGCCTAACTGTACATAAGCTGTAATTTTTTTCTATTTGCAAAATAGGATAACATAATAAGTAAGTAAAATAGTATAAGATAATAACTGCAACTTAATAGTTTATCCCAGTTACCGGCTTTGGTATTTCTGATATTTAATATACTAACATTATTATTACACTTACATCTATTGCAGTAGCAGTAGTGTATGCTTCCAGGCGTATTCTATTTCATGATCATCACTATCACCATTACAGCCCATCAAATTTACACTGCTAAACATTGTCCTCTTCCAAAAAATAATACAAAACACGGCCCTGAGCCACCTTCATCCCTTGCCAGGTCGTCACTCCATCTAGTGAGGGGCGGCCGTCCATTCGCGAGGTTGCCACTAGAGATACATTACGGCTATATGACGCAAAGAACAGACTATCGATGGGGACGAAAGGCATATTCCTTTTATAGGTAAGTATAATAAAAACTTATGGCATCATCTTGCGGCATAGGTTCTATTACATGATCTAAGACTATGATAATACCTGTCAGATATCAACCACAGATTCAGCTTAACAATTCAAGGTTACCAAATGTAAACATTTGCTATAGGTAAGTTATATCTCAAATAATACCCTGAAAATTGCTCTGCAAACTGAAAAGAGGAGGTCAGGTGATTGTAATGCATTACTTAGTGTAAAGAAACGCATCCTCTCGTCTTGTATCGGCAAGGAAACCATTATTGGAACCATACTTAGAAAAATTATTACAGAGTAAATTATATCTACAATGAATAAGAAAACTCAGATTGAATGTTCAAAATCACGAAACAATCACATTACATACAATTTTGAAAATTAATTATTTGATACCTATAAAATACAAATAAACCCTTCATCCTATAATCCTAGAACAATTTTTTTCGTATCAATCTTTAGCAGTCAACCGTTCAGCTCAGCTCTCTTCCAAGAAAGAATAAATTGTATTTAAGGTTCTTGACCGATGACTTATTCCGCCATCTGCAGGAAACAATTTCTTAGCAATCTCACAAGGCTAGTTTTATAATACTAACGATATTATGTAAGTAGGTAGAATTGATTGTTTATATTAATTAAGATAATATAAATTTACAATTTTCAGTCGAGTCGTGTGCCGCCATCGCTACCACTGGGCAAAAGTAGCGCAACACAAACAGTTTATGAAAGAACTCCTCAGTTTCGAGCGGCTGCAACCCAACGCTTTAGATGGCGTTAGAGTGCATAGAGAGTTTTCTCAAGGCATTCTATCCCACAAGATCCCATCACGGCGCTACATGCAAAAGCTCACTCCAGATCCACTCACTTCTCATCAAAGGATGAGAGTTGAAGAAATTATCAGTGGAAGAGTAAATTTTAGTAACAAATAATGAGTTTATAGTTTTCCTTTTCGTTTTTATTAGGATAAACAGTAACAGAGACACAGGTTTTTAATGTGTGTTACTTGTTTAACATCCATTGAAATCTTTTCAGTAGAGTTCAGCATGTTAATTGGTCACACCAATACATTTAGAAACAATCTTATCTGTTTTGAGTATAAGCATAAAGTAGTCAATCTTTTGGTGTTTTACAGGACTTAATCCCTCCCTCTTCATTCCATCGTCGGACTATCAGACGCTCGGTTAGTCTCCACCTATTTGTCGACATACCGCACATCACAAGCTCAAACAGTTTGCTTCGTCTTTTATAATGCAAACACCAAAGAAGTGTTATGACTTGTCAGAATTTTTCTCCATCCGATTATAATTTAGGTATGTTCAAGGCAAGAGTGAAAGAGTGAATAGGATTTTGTTAAGCTACATCAGTGTACTTTACCATTTCTGGTGCATCACCACATGCCATCAGGTGGATAGTAGTCAAGCAATGCCTTATAGTAGTTAAATAAAATGTTTATTTCTATAATAACACATTCTATTTTACATTCTTAAAAACTTCATTAAGAAGTAGCATTAATTTAAAATAAGTCATTAATAAAATAAAATGTAATAAAGTATATTTATTTATTAATCAGCATTTTCGGCAGCTTTTCTTCGTTTTATCTTTTTGCTCTTCTCAACATTACTCTGTAAGTAATGAGCCTCCTTCTTAGCCTGTGATATTTCAGCACGAAGTCTCTGTTTCATTGCAGCTCGTTCATATGCCAGTCTTTCGCTCAAATGTACCCATTTAAATCTTGGTATATATTTAATATTCCATATCATATCATAGTAGCGAGATTTCTTTCGTGTTCCAATTTTTGTGTTATTGAGGCTGGCTGCAACTTGTTTAGCAACTTTTTTCTTTTGAAATTCAACCCAGCCTTCTGTGAATTGGTTGGGAATATGCTTGCGTTTCTCGCCAGGCTCTGGAAATTATAAGAATTTTTATAGAAATATTTATCCTATTTATGATACATTATTTGCAGTATCTGTCCCACAGTCACAGTCAGATTTTAAGTATTAAATACCATATTACTAAAGAAATAATATTAAATGGGATGGATAATATAAATAAAAGATAGTTTAGTCAATGTTTTACTTTAAATATTATTAAATTAAAGAAAAGTAATAAAGTAGGGTGAGAAATTGTCTGATAAGAGATATTGGTTTGCAAGAAGGTCTTGTAACCAATATGTGAGAATAGAGAATGAATGAGGAAACACTATACTATAATAATGTGACAAAACAAATCAATTCTGAAGAAGTGAGTAGCAGAGTAAACAAAGAGTCGCCTAGACAGAAGTTAATCAACCAAATAAATAATACAGTGGATTTCATTAATAACGACCTCGGTTGTAACGACTTTTCGGTTATAGCGACGTCAAACTTACGTCCCTTGAATTTAAAGCATACTTTCGTAAGAAATTCATTCGGTAAACGATTCGGTAATAGCGACTTCGGTTATAGCGTCAATTTCGGGTATAGCGACTTGTTTTTATGAACCATTTATGACCGATTCCTAGAAATCCCTTGCGGATATTGCGACTGAGTCGGCACAAAGACTCATTCATAAAACTAAGCTTTCTTATCCTTTGTTTACATTCACAGATGGTCAAACTAATGCTTTGTTTGTATGTAGGACTACGTAGCATGTTTACGAAATTAAATTTGTGAATCAGTTACATAGAAATTCCAGTGAGTGAACAGTGTTTCTTAAACTTGTGAATATGGCTCCTAGACGTACATTTACTGTTAAAGAAAAAGTGGACATCATTTCGAGACTGCAAAATGGACAAAACAATGTTGATCTGTGTAAACAATTTGGAGTTTCACATTCTACAATATCAACGATTGGAAAAACCGCGAAAAAATTAGGGGTTTTGAATCAAAATCCCTGAAAATAAAGAAAAATCACAAAACACCCGTGTATAACTTAATTAAATAAATGATAAGTAAATATGTACATGACTTTTTATTATTTCGGATATAGAGACCTCCTGATATAGCGACGACATTAAAGTGGTCCCTCCGCCGTCGTTATAACCGAAATTCACTGTATATTGAAGATGGCCTAAATTATTTTTATCCAACAAACATGTTTATATATATAACACAGTTATATGAATGTGAAAGTCCACAGTTTCCTCCAACCCGTATGGGTGACGTGTAGGAGAGTTTGTGTTTATGTATATTGCAAAAGTAGTCTGTGAGATACCATTTTAAATCTTGATAAAATAAGCCATCTTCTACAATTGCTTGCCAACTTAGCATAGGACTTTTTTACAGTATGAATAGTCAATGCTTACTGATTAGTAATATTAGCTACCTATGAAAGGAGAAAGGCATTATTTTTTATAAGAGTTATAAGTTTTATTTTGAATTGTTAATAACAGCAGGGTTATTCTAGATTGCACAACAAAACTTAAAACAGAATGACATGAAAATTTTTAGTCACAGTATCCAGTAAATGGTTAAAAGTTATGTATGTTTTAAAAAAAAAGAAGCCTATAATTCAAAAATTACCACATATACTTTTCCGTTTATGACATTGAGTTTTGGAAAACACGATATGTTGTCTATCAGCAATAATAATTAGCGGGCCACAGTTCATAAGGAGTTTAGGAAGCCTGCTTCTTTTATCATGCTGAACAGACTAGTGATATTTAAAAGTATTATTGATATTAGTATTAAAATTTAACTTT